GCTCTGCCTCCACATTTGATTCTCTCTGGAGTCATGTACCGCGTTACAGGGCCATAAGTCTAACTAGCCATTACTGTACCACTGAATGAATCAAACTTGTCTTCATAACAACCCTGTCACCATTTACAGCTCCCCTCCTACATTTGTCACCCAGCAGCTCCATTTCCATAACTCCTGAGTATCTCACAGGTTTGTTTTATTATATCACACTCACCATTCATAAACACACATACAGACACTCATATCTTTAGACAGTTCCACAGTGTGTAAGTGTGTTTGATAGGAGACCAGATACACACAAACGTTTCATCATTTCAGCAAAGCATTTTAAACCTCGAAGCTGCCATAATCAGTACAGTTATGCTAACAATGGATCAAAGGACTATGTGTAATATGAGAGAGGTCATTCGTTGTGATGAAGCCACAGAGAACTGTCCCTGTCACTGCAGTTTCCCTCAGCACCTTTCAGAGTACTTTAACTCTTTGTTCTTTTCTAGGGCTTGTAACTTTGCTGCACCAAGCAACAGACAGACACAGTTAGCAGCTAGCTAGTGACCTTAGTGGACCATTTAGTATCTGAAGAGCCAGATGTTGGTGGAGATAAAAGCAGATCTAAGAGGAGAGTGATCAAGGGAAACACAACTCCAAATGAACGCTAATGTCGCTTTGTATCTGCTGGATGTGAAAACAGGAAACTATTTGCTAACATTTGTCATATCGGCCTTGTAAAGTTTTAATGTGTTGTTCACAAGTTCTTCCTGCTGCTCCCCCTGCAACCAGAATATGGTATTTATAGTCCAAACACTAAGCCACGAGGATACTAGTGTTAATGTAAACACACTCAGTTTCTGGAAAAAAATGAAGCGTTTGAAGTTTGCTAGAAACAATATTCCATTCTCCTCTGTTGTACTGAGCTGGCAGCAGAAATTTGATACTTCAACACTTGGACCAAAAAAAAAAAAAAACACCTTAAAGGTTCAGCACACTCAGTAACACATCAGCAAAACCTGGCAAAGTCACATCTATCAGTCTCTCACTTCGTCTGCCTGCCTCTGCCTCACTTTGCCTCTGGGACACTCACAACACCATGTACACAAGTCTTGTGATCAGAGATTCTGCACTTCAGAAATCACACACTGCCTCCGACTGCTCCTGGGAGGCGCCTCTGACCCACACACACACACACTCGCATGCAGTCACACACATACACACACCCTGGGCGATATTATATAATGGACTCATATGGTTCAAGTTAATCAGACTTGTGTAAATAGCCACCGGGTCATCCTGTTTTATTCATGTTTTTGATTAATCATATGATTATGACTTGCTTTTTTAGTCTGGAAAATGATGTGGCTCCGAGTGTTTTGTTGTCATTATCATCATCAGAAGCAGCAGCATTACAGTAACCAACAGTAATAATAAAGACCACACACACACACACACAGAGACACACACACATGGCACTAGTTTCTTCCACACACACACAGACACACACACACATGGCACTAGTTTCTTTAGTTAACATTCTGACTATGTAGTATCAATCCTTTTATCCAAAACTGAGGGAAGAATTTTAATGGGAAGCACATGACTGTACAATCCTGGTTAAGATGACAAGACCTGTTGAATCTGCAGACACTTACACATATATGCACAGTGTGCATGAGCGCCCACACACACACACAGTGGAAACTGCCAAACCTCCTGTCTATGGGTTTATTTATTTAGAAGAAAAAACAGAAGACCTCAAATTAAAAACACACAAATATTTCACAGTTAATGTGGTTTTAATTGCACTGCAGTATGAAAACAGACCGATGATGTGAAACACACAGTCAGCAGGCATCTTTTGACACTCGTGCTTTCTTTATCACTCCTTTGTTCAGTGGTTCACAGTGGAAAGTACCCGCACCGTGGCACAGAATCAGAGAGAAGGCGAAGCACAGGCGGGGGACGAGATAACAATGTGCTGAACAGAGAAGCAAGAAACAAGGGCAGGATGGCTAAATCTAGAGAGTAAAGAGTGAAAAGAGTGATGAGATGAGCCAGCCGAGGCCCTGCATGCCTCATCAGGATTCTCTATAAAAGGTCTTTTTGTTTCTCATTGCCTGTCCTTGAGGTCAAAAACACATTTGGGACTTTACACTGACATGCATTCACTTCCTGGATATTTACCCTAGCCACTATTTGCCTAAGCCTAAATCTGGCCCTAACCTTGACCTAACCCTAATCTCACCCTAATCTAAGACCAAGTCATCACTCTAAACTTCAATAATTTATTTAGGGACCATCATCTGGTCCCCATGAGAATGGTTTTTTTGGGTGGGGGTGTATGCAAAGGGAAAAAGCTTTAATGGTTATCATTTTGTGAACCAGAATCCCCTGAAACCTTGACTGACGCCACAATCGCCACAAAGCTCCATCCCAGACTGTGACCTGGGACATATCCAACTCCCTCTTCTCCTCTCTCCCTAACCCCATCACGTGCACCCTCCCTCCTTTCCTCCTGTAGATGTGGTCTGAGAGTGATTCCTCGCTGTGGTAAGAAACATCCTCATTGTTTGTTCTCTCTCCACTTGTAATCACACAGCTTCTTTTTACACACAAATACCCACATTTAAGCTGCAATTGATTTTCAATTAGTTTACCATGGAGCTCAAAGTGGCTTTGAAAGCTCAGGAATGTGTGAGTTTCTTTGCGTTTATGTGTGCACATGTAGAGTGAGAGGAAATGGGGGAAAGATCCAACTTGAGTCTTGGAAAACAGTGACCTTGCACTCTTCATCCTGCATCATATTGACTGCAAGATGAAGCAAGCGAGTAGACAGAGAAAAACAAAGAAAGAAGGGGAGAGAAGAGAGATTTGGGGAGAAGAAGCCAAAGACAGGGCGGTTAAGTTGTGGAAAAACAGGGGTTTTCTACAGAAGAAGGAGGCGGAGAGGGAGGAGCAGCATGAAGCTTGACTGTCCTTGTATGTTACTGTTGCACATATCAAACACAGAGAACCACGATTCTGCTCTAAACATGCAGACAATGGGGAACCCTGAGCTTCTGACAGAACTATAAATAGAGATTCTTCAGTCCACATTGATTCAACAACTACAACCTTCTCCAGATGCACATTCACACAAATAAACAAACACTGTGGCTGCACTCATTTGGTCTGAGAGGAAATTGTTGCCTCATAAAGAAGGGAACTTGTGTGTAAGTGCATATGCAGTTCAGCTGCTGTGCTCTGCAGGATTTCTAGTGGGATGAGAGTAAAAGCTTCACAGGTCTTCAGTCCAAATCAACTGCATTAGCACAGCATGGCTAGCACATTGGAGATACAACAAACGGGAGACACAAATTAAACATTTTAAGATTTATCATTAAACAAAGCAGACATGTGAGCGCTCCAGCCATCTAGCCTACAGTTTGACCTACGTGTCCGAACCCCAACCAGACTAGAACATAATTTGTACATTTCTGTCCGAACCCAGCCCAGATCCTCAGGTATCAACAGATCCCATCAGGCTTGGTTCAGGTATCTACACTCTACTTGGAGCTAGCAGTCTGACACAGACCTGGTCAGTGGCACACAGTTTTAATAAAGAACTTGGGATTTTCTGAGATGGATTGTTGAGCTATGAATTTCATAGTGGATTTGATCCAGAGCATTTTTCAGACGCCTAACTAGTCCGACTGCATGTCAACAATTTTCCATGAAAACAGAGCAAACTCCAGAAATGTGAAAGCATGGATCTTGAATATCACTTTCCTTTTCCTTTTCAGTCAAGTGCCCTGGTTTTCTACACTGTGCTGTTGTGAGTCTTTATTCTTCTGACCACAGTTCTGAAAGTCCTAAATGAACTCACAGTCTTGTTGAGGCTTTTACATACTTGCAAAACTGTAATATTATACTGACTTTGTTGAGAGATTAGCACAGATATCCAGCACAGACAAACCACACAGTATTAGAGAGGAAACATTCCTCAGATGGCTGGTGGATCTGGCAACCTGGCCCCTTGGCACGTCTGTCTCTCTTGTCTGTGTGTGTGTGTCTGTATGTGGAGTTGGCAGCAGTACACACACTCCGATGTCACGGTCTTTTTCAACATCTGTCCACTTGGAGAAAGACCCACCAGGCGTCCACACAGATGAACTCAAGAGACATTACTCTCCAACAAGGAGAACTGCTGCTTTCATCTTTAGTCAATCTAAATGCCTGCACAGTTCTGAGTTATCACACATGTTACTTTATTAGAACAAAGGCTGGGATAACAGCCATATTTTAATAGTATCATTGAAGAAACCAGCTTTAGGCCTTTAAAACATTCTTTAAAATATGATGACAAAGGAGAGGGGGCCGCTAAACGATTTAAGATGTGAACTTCACAGTCACCAGATCTCACTTCAAGTCAAGTCCAGTCAAATTGTATTTGTACAGTCCAGTATCACAACCGAGAAATTTGCCTCGGGGGCAGTTGAACACCTGCAGATTTTGGACTGGGAAGTTAGACAGGATTCTCTCTCACCAACATCAAAACAGCAAATGTGGTAATAACTTTTAGAAGAATGCAGGTCAGAGCCAGAAACTTAGAGAAGCTATGCCCGTAGATTCAAGAGAACCTTATTGTTGCAGACCTGTCAACAAAACCACAGTTGTAGGCTTTATTCAGGTGCCAAGTCATTCAGAGATATACAGCAGCAGTAACATCAGGCTATGAAAATACACACAGCTGGATTACTGCACTGTTCATGAATGCCTATAGGATGTGCCATGGAAATGGAGAGGGAACGATTAAAGATTATGGGAACTGTTCATATGAGGGATTGCCCTGAGGAAGACGATGGTTTTTACATTATAAATGTAATAATAAACTGATCCCACTCCATGCTTATGGCCCAAACCTTTTAAGATAATTAAACAGTAATGTTATTCCTAACAGTGGGGCTTCTTTGTACAGGCTGCCATGTGGATGGATGACTGACCCCTCCTCTGCTGTGCTGGTTACTGAGCGCTCAAACCGGCCATTGGTTCATCGCCGTCCCTCCCGCCGGAGGAGCGAAGCGCTTCACAGTAGAATAAAGTCTGTCAGTGGTGGTTAACCCGAAGCTTACAGCATGTCTGTTTCGAACTAGATAAAAACGTTTCCTAGACCTTTCTCTGTCAATGAACGAAGCTGTAAAACCATCCTCCGGGCCACAATGCGGAAACCCGCCGGGGGACCAAAATACGCCTCCGGCTCATCAGGACCGCGCGCCGCCACCGCCGCGGTCACCTGTCTGCTGGTGACCGGGATGCTCGTCGTCACCGTGGGACACCCGAGCAGCGCACACCCGGAGGAGTCTTCAGGTCCACTGACGACTGGAAAGGTTTTCTCAACGTATTTTAGGAAACTGTCCCGGGAGCGGAGATCGATAAGCGCCCCGCCGCGGAGCAGCGGGTCCCCGCGGCCCGTGGAGCGTCTGTCCCCGGCTGACCTGTTCATAGCGGTAAAAACCACCCGGAGGTATCACCGACAAAGACTGGCCCTGCTGCTGGACACCTGGATCTCCAGAAACACGCCACAGGTGAGCTAAGGCGTGTTATTACCTCAGCCCAGTAAAAGGGAAACAGTACAAACAAACAATAACTAAATAAATAAGTAAATGACTGTTGCAGCTGTTATGAACATGAAGTGATTCAATGTGTTAATGCAGGCAGACACGTTGAAAGTGAATAATAATTAGACTTTATATTATGTTATTTTGTACAAATCGTAGGCTTACAATAGGAAAATAAACAGATAACCAATCAGTACTAAATGATATAAATCTTGTGTCGTGTTCATATGATTTACCATCTGAAGGGTCACATGAAGGACACTTTGTCTACTGGCCTATTTGGTCAGACCCAGGGCTGATAATGTAAGGTCAGAGCTCAAATGTGCATCACCTAGCCTTACATATCCACTGTTATTAGCTGCTGTATAAGGGAAGTAGTGTTCTAAATGTTTCCTTAGTTTTCTGCAGCAACTGCAAGTTAAGTTATACACCCCCTGAAACATGACTGTGTCTACTGAGCCAGCCTGCCATTGAATTGTAAAACAGAGACAGAGGCCTTTGTAATGTGTGAGAGGGAGATCTGAGGGCTAACAGGCCGACCACAGTGCTGTTAATGGGGTGACATAGTGCAAGGAGGGGATATAAAGAGGAAAGACTGTAGACTGAGATCGACTCAGATGCAAGAATGAGCCTGAGAAACACTGAAACCGATCAAGCAGTCTCAGTGGGGTGCAGGTTTGTTTTCAACAAGACTGCAAATACAACAAAGCAGTTGTTCAGACTGGAATCAAAATGTAGACACTCGCTGTGGTCTGTATCATAAATGCCAGTCTGAAACATCAGAAAAACAAGCATGCCATGGCTGTGGACTGCTACAGGAAGCCGTAGAGTGCTTTGCAGTCTGTTTCAGAGGTAGAACATAAGTCCATTTTGTAGCTGCTTTTACTTGTAGATCAGTATTTCAATTTGCTTCAACAGCACATTTACACCATGCACTACATTTATCTGACAGTTACTTTGCAGTTTAAGACTGCTCGTGCAGAACACTACATAAAGTATGATTCAGAACCTGTAAACGGTCCAGCAGCAGATCCAGTGGTCGAACTAATGCTCCACTTGGACTGTGTTCAGCTTTGAACCGGTGCATACACAACCCTAACCCAGAAATTCAACACTGAAAGGAGCCATTCTTCAGACTGATACACTCACACTCAGCTTTCACTTTTAATATTTAACTGCTCGTATTTCAGTTTTACCCAAGTACGTTTTCCTGAATGTAGGATGTTAACGTGTTGATGTGTTTCTGGAAGATAATTCAGTAGTTAATACAGTGATCTGAATAGGGCTGTAAAAAGACAATTGAGACTCTATATATAAGAGTTCTTTCTCTGCTATTGATCATGATAGAAACAGTTTTTCAGGTTGAGGATTAAATCATTAGTCCTGTGATCTGGAGGACATAAGGGCTTTGCCGGCACAGGGAGCCTCACAGATAAATGAGATCAAACTCTATGAACAGAGAGCTTTTTGGTCTGAATCACAGTGGTGAGGGAATAAAGATGAATCTCTTTCTGTGAAACACATGGGACTGTGGTAAACTGCAAAGCCCGTAATCAAATCCAGACATGACTGTGGATCGTACAGACGTCCTACTGATTTCCATTTAAACCTCAGTGTTTGAGGAAGGACGAGCTTAATTCCCATCTCATGCTGCGCGCAGACTGTTGATAGAAACACAGCTTATGTAGGCGGAACCAGCCGGCGTCTGAGTGAGTGTGTGTCTGACGAGTTCCTGCATCAGTTCTCACGGTCAGGTGTGTGTAACTCTACCTGTTTCCCAGTCACACCCCTGTATTGTAAACCTGCTGAGTAATGGAAACACAGCAACACACACAAAGTGCACTTTCTCACTGTTGCATTCACCTTCACAAACACAAATGCCCTAGGAAAAACCTGATTCTCATGGGAAGTGAAGAATGTGTCTGATCACAAGAGTAAACACACACATGCCACTTTCTCCTGTCTTGTTGTTTCCTGTCTTGTTAAGCCCTCGCCCCTCCCTGTTGTCCCCCTACTGCCTTCCCAGCTTAGCATGCACTGGTATCACACAGACACACACTCAAACTCTCCAGAAGCTGACTGATCTCAGGAGGCTTAAGAGGTTCAGGGTAAAAAAAAAAAAAAAGGCTGACAGAAACTCACAGCTGGCTGGACGCGCTCTCCTCCCCCTCCCAGGCCGTGATGTGATCACACAGCACTTGGACCAGAGATTTATTATAGTTTTGCAGCATAGCAGGCAGGTTGCAAAGTGGAATCTCTCTGGGCCTGGTCCTTTTACCGGGGCAGTGCATACAGGGAAGTCAGAGAGTATTACAGCATTGGCGGGTTGTTGCAGTGCCGTCCCTGTACTACAGCACATTGGATTCGAAGTGAAACGGCGACTATGAGGTGCTGACTTTTGGCCTTAAATTGAGACACAGCTCTGTAATTGACTGTCATACAGTTTGGTACACATGCACAGAGCAGCTGGCCTGGCTGAGTCTACAGCTCAGTGTTGTTTGACCTGCAGATCACTTACATCATGCTGACTGTACATCATCTGTGCTGGACTTGTTTCATGCAATATTTTGTCTTCAGCTTTGTCTTTAGCAGTTGGACTATGTGACTGACAGGACAGACGGGATTGTTTTTCGGTTCGGCCATACAAACTAATTGGGCAGCTTGTGTATAGGTGCACGATCACTGCCCTGCTGCATTATTCTTAAACCCAGGCACAAGCTCTACATTGCTCACTCAATACAGATGTGAACAGCTTCAAATTAAAGCCGAGTCAACACTTTAACCTCACTGCTGTTGCTTCAGATCTGTTGCCCTGAAATACAGAGCCAAAACAACAGACTATTTACAGACTGCTCTGTCTGTGCACCCAGGGAGCGTTTACTTCCTGTGGAAGGTTGTGGGGTCTGCATGGTTTCCTGAGTGCACAGTGACCATCAACCCCATCACTCAGCACAGCTAAACATTCATGTACACACACACACATCCAGCTACAGGGTTGTGACCAGCTGCTCTGCTGCTGATAGACAAGAGACCCACCTTTATCTTGGCCTCCATCCAATATCAGCATTGTTCACTGCTGCTATGTGGTGTGTGTGTGTGTGTGTGACTGAGGAAACAAGTGGAGTCTCACCTGAGATCACAGGCAGTCATCCTTGAACAAAGACGGTTGAGCAGTAGTGATGGTGTTTCTGCTTCCCTGCTAGTCAGTCACACAAACTGTGTGTTTTTTCACAGACGTATGTGTTCACTGATGGAGAGGACATGGAGCTGAGGAAAAAGATGGGTGAGCACACACACACACACACACCAACTTAAACAGTTTTGCTGAGTAGCAGTAGTGTTATCTGCAGTGTGAGAGGAGCTGTAGGAAAGCAGGAACAAGGCTGCTGACTGGGCAATACTGTGTTTCCATGAAGGTCAGGAAGTCACTTCAGTTTAATCAACAGGCCTTTCCTCCTCCTCTTACTCATGTAATTGTTTTACTGTTACTGAGGTATTCTTTTCACTATCAGACACATTGTGTGATAATGCAGGAAAAAAAAAACTAGGAAAATTATTCGGTTTTTTCAAGAAGTCAGGCTGTAACAGAATCCACATTTTGCAGCAGCTTTCTTGCTTCTGAACATTCAGTTTTGTTAAAGTTTCCGTGGTGTGTGATGGATGGTCGTTTATTTCTGTTATCGATCATCAGGAGCTCATTTGATCAACACCAACTGCTCAGCAGCCCACAACCGTCAGGCGCTCTCCTGTAAAATGGCTCTGGAATACGACACGTTTATCCACACTGGCAGGAAGTAAGACACAATCCATGCAAACAGTAACTGACGTACTTTCTCAAAAAGATACACAAATAACTCTCAGCATCATCCTTTTCAGGTGGTTCTGTCACGTCGATGATGATAACTACCTGAACGTCGGCTCCCTCCTGAAACTTCTGTCTCAGTACAGCCACACACAGGATGTTTACATCGGCCGACCCAGCCTCGAGCGACCAATAGAGACCACAGAGCGCCTCGGCACCGCTGAAGTGGTAACTTCATATTTTACTGCCCAGAGAGATTTACCATAAAGATGAAATACTGGATGTTCCAGTAATGTAGAGGTGTCTCTATATTTTTGTCCTCCCCAGCTACATACATGAGAGGGTCAGAATATTAGAAACACCTCTGAATATAATGTAGTCCAGTACACTGCCACCTTTAACTACGACCTCAATAATAATCATATAATCAAATTCACACATTTATTACAATTGCACCAAAAACTGAAACATTTTGAGCTTCATAAACACAGATGTGTCTGCATTGTACCTACACTAATACAGTGGCTGGTGAGTGTTTGTTCACTGCCTTTGTCCTTCATTAACTGAAATATTCTGCTGTATGTATTGAGCTCTGTGCACTGAGCATCAATGCACTCGGACATCTGTATTGACGTCTCCTTCACTGAGTCCAAAGGATGATGTGCAAAACACTTTTATCCATCCATTATCTATACAACTTACTCCTGAATATCCTCCCCAGCTACATACATGAGAGGGTCAGAATATTAGAAACACCTCTGAATATAATGTAGTCCAGTACACTGCCACCTTTAACTACGACCTCAATAATAAACACACTCCTCAGTTTAGAGAGACAAGTCAACCTAAGCTGCATGTCTTTGGACAGTGGGAGGAAGCCGGAGTACCCGAAGAGAACCCACGCAGGCACAGGGCGAACATGCAAACTCCACACAGAAAGGCCCCGGGCTCAAACCCAGAACCTTCCTGCTGTGAGGTGACAGTGCTAACCACCACACCACTGTTTCGCCCACACTTTCATTCATACTGTATATTGTGTGTGTCTCTGTGCAGAGGCAGGTGCGTTTCTGGTTCGCCACAGGAGGAGCAGGGTTCTGTCTTAGCCGTGGCCTGGCTCTCAAGATGAAGCCGTGGGCAAGGTAAACTCACACTGAGATCCATTCTGAGATGATTATTTTGGGCACTGTTCCATCTGTATAATCGCATTTTCTCCTCCACGTGCTCTCTACTTCTCTCTCTGTCTAGCGATGGCACTTTCATGGCGACAGCTGAGCACATTCGCCTCCCTGACGACTGTACTGTAGGCTACATCGTGGAGGCGCTGCTTGGTGTGAGCCTCATCCGCTCAGCTTTGTTCCACTCCCACCTGGAGAACCTGGGACTGGTGTCAGACATGCACAGCCAGGTACACACAAACACACACACACAGTATGCACACATAACACCACAGCATCATGATCTGCTATTACAGATATGAAAACTGTTTTTTTTTTGTTGTTCTCGATCAGGTGACTCTTAGCTACGGCACTGTGGAAAACAGCAGAAACACTGTGAATGTGAAAGGACCGTTTTCAGTTAATGAAGATCCTACCAGGTAAAATATGTGTACAAATGTGTGATAAACAGATGATAGTGAAGACTAGAATGAGCAGAAAATCACAGTTTATAGATTCTCATTATTGGATTCCAATAATCCCGCACTAACTTATCATCGCACTTCTCAGACATCACTGGACCCACAATGGACAATTTTTAAGAAGTCATCAAAATCAATGCAGCAAATCCAGAGTTATCATCTTTTTTCATTCTGTGTATTCCGCTTCCTTCCACAATGTGGTGGCTACATTACCAACAATGCAACCCGACCACCGCCAAGTGACATCACTTGAGGCAGTTTATCAGACATCAAGCAGCTTTTCTCTGCAGCCTCAAATGGTTTGTTACAACTAGTACTCCCCAAGAAAACAGACTTTGATGTGTCAAATTAGATTCCCTTCCTTTTCTCTGTATGGACCATGTTTTCGGGACAGTGCTTTATCTTTGCTACAAATCTGCTCAACTGAATGAAAACACAATTTAGTCTCCAAAAGAAATGATCAGTAGAGGACAGCATAATAATCACCATAAATCCAGAGCAGTCAACTAGTGGTTATGATTATGGTCAAACACAAACACTCATATCCTCACTATGTCAAAGTGACAGGTTTATGTTTATTCTCCTGTCTGGTGTCTAGCTTTTATTTGGATTCTTTGGATAGGCCTACACTGCATGCTAATGGGAAAACAGTGGCAGTCTGATTTAGCCTATGAGGCACAGAGGCCTCAGTATTTCTTCAAAAGAAGCAGTCTAACACAAAAGGTCACCGTCGCTGTGAATATTTACCACAGAAGGCAAACAACACAAAGGATTAAACAAACTGATCTTATTTTTAGTCTTCCTGACATTAAGGAGATTTTTTTTTTATTTGTTCTCCCTCACATCTTTCTTTTCCTCCCTTTGTCCTCTGGGCAGTAATTGTATCATTGTGTACTGAACTGGGCTAATTGTCAATATTGTGCTTAGTCAATAGAAGCTGAGGGCAGCGTGCCCACAGGATGTGAGGGAGGGAAGGAGGCAATGAAATAAGCTTCCTGTCCTATCAGTGGATGGGGTCATAGAAAAAAAATGAATATCTTTTTACACAATAAGTAACGTACAATGACTTCTTGTATATTTTTGACACAGTCTTACAGATGCTCAGGCTTTAGCTGCAGAATGTGTCCTTCAATCCTCCTTTATGAAAGTGCTTCAGTTTGTGTATGTTTTACTACTATGACAAGTTTCCTGGCTTTGTTCATTGTGTGTATGTGTGTGTATGCGTGTGCTTTTGTATTACTTACATTATGGGGGGACCTGTTAACACACACATTATGGGGACTCGGCCTTCCTTGTGGGGACCACCCTCTGGTTCACAATTTGAATTTTAGGGTGACAACATGGTTTAAGTGTTAGGGTGAGGTTAAGTGTTAGGGTCTGGGTTAGGGTTAGGCAAGTAGTGGTTATAGTTAAGGTTTGGGTAAGTCTAGAGGAAATGAATGTAAGTCAATGCAAAGTCCCCACAAGGAATGAAAACACAGTGTGGGTGTGTGTATGAACGTGTGGCCATGATTAACTGTATTCACTGTTTTATTTTGAAATTCCCAGTTTGTGGTTTCCAGGCATTGTGCCACTCATTTCCCTCTCTTTCTCAGGTTCATGTCTGTCCATTGTCTGCTGTACCCAGACACACCTTGGTGCCCTGGGCCCTGGCCGCTTTAACACCTATCCAGTGAGGAAGACGGCGGGCTGGACTGGTGGGGGAGAGAAAGTCTACAGCAACATGCGCTGCAATGCCAAAATTATCTAGACATTATGTGGGGCAGCTGCCTGTGAGAACACAAATGTCTAACTGGAGACTCTTCTGTTGTTAAGAGTGGATGTTGAAATCGTCAGACATGTGACATTATCATGTCCTGCCCCTTCTGTGCTCTACCTAGAGGCCCCCACCCCCCTGCATAAACCAAACAGTATTCCCAGTACGTAGGTGAGAACACATCTGACATGGACTCCTGTTGTGTGCTTTATGTATGGATGGGCAACTCTGGAAAATGTCCAGTCCTGAATCTGTGAACATTGTCTGGAGCTTATGTCTGATGGTGCATGGAAGTGTTGTAGACATGCAGGAATAAAGAGAATCCCCTCTGCTGAGGTATTTCTGAAACACTTGGGCATCCTACATCAGTCTGACTTTGAAGCTTCGCACATAAGCTCTGACCCTGTGAAACTGGGTGTCAAAAAGCCAAACACTGCAACAAGAGAAGAAGATTACAAGCCAGAATTCTTGGAAGGATGAGGGTGATGGCAGCATGAGAGGAGAATGGTTTATCCTCAGTTCCAAACGTACAGCAGCCTGTCAGACCATCTGTCTTCTGTCTAATCACAGCATTCACTCAATTTTTAGCTTTTGTTTATTAGCTTTAGCACTGAGCGAACATTAGCATATATTGTTGAGGCTTAGAGGGTAACTCTGGTCTTTCTGGAGCTTTAGTTTTTGGCTATCATTTTTACCAGTTATGATAACATTGTACTCACCAATGTAAACGGCGAGATCCGAGACCACGACAACATAACTACAACTAAGTCAGACAGTGCACGCGACGCCTAGTAAGGCTTGTGTCAACAGTATTCTGCAATGACTGTTAATGGTGCTTTGAAAATTTTATAGCAGTGTAATAAAGATGATCCCCTTTGAGGTTTTATTGAGAAATGACTCATGTTGGGTCGTCTTCTGTTTCTGTGCATTGAAAGCAGTTGTTGCAACTAAATGAAAGTTTTTAAGTTAAATTCTGTCCCTCATTAAATGAATGTATATGATGAACCATTGCTTCTGAAGCATACGTGCTGTTTCCAGTATCTGGACCGTATGTAGATATCACGGTTGGTTGTTAATAAAAACAGTTTTGGTAAAATACTTGAATGTTTGTGAGATCCCTTACATTAAATAACACTTTGGGGGATTTTAAGGGGCGGGGACACAACTTTTCACCTCCGACTTTGTTTATGAGCTGTTGGGTTCCTGTCTGGAGACACCACCTCCCCCATATCCAGAGCCACACAAAATTCCACCACACACACACACTGAAACAACAGCAGTCCTCTTATCTGATTGAGCCATACACAAGGCCTGCAGAGATAAAGGCACAGCTGAAAGATTAGTGGACTGTATGCCTCTGTGTGTGTATGCGTGTGTGTGTGTGTGCGCGTGCATCATGGCCTTTCTCCCACTGCAAATTCAAGTGATGTCAGACTATGTGGACCATAGGGAGTACTTAGACAAACAGCCATCCCCAATAGTGAATTTGTGAAATTATTCCCAAGCTCAACATCCTGCTGATGGGACAGTGTCCCCTGCTGGCCACATACGTTACTGCATTATCACCTTCACGATGGGAGGATTTATCGCAGGACTGCATTTATTTTAGCTGAGTGTTTCTAATAAACAGCTGAGTGTTTTTTTTGTTTGTTTGTTTTGTTTTATTGAGTTTTAAGTAAATGGTTCACTGCAGCTTGTGCCCTAAGCCACTAACTGGATTTTTACATTCGACCGTGTGTGGCAAAATATGATTGTACTTGTTTGGTATACAACAATAAAAATAGGCCCTAATAAATATATTTGTATGTTGTAAATAAACCAAACCCAACACTGAGGCAGTAAGTGCACAATCAAACCTGGGACATTTCACAACTCTCCTATATACTGTGAAGTACACGAGTTCAAATGCTCATAATTCCATTTGTCTTATTTTTCACTTTTTACAAGCACAATCAAAATGATTAAAATGAACCCACAGTTTTGATCAGTATGTTAAAGTTGCTTTAATTTATTTTTTTTAAACATCTATTCCAGGCTGAATGATATCATTACCACAGTTTTGACATGTACATCATTAATATCTTAGTTAAAATATCAGAAAATAAAAACAGCCATAGAAAACATTGTTTATCTGTCACATCTGGACAGAGGTGTATTTGAAGTCCTGTCACTCACTCGTAAACATGTGTGGCTTTTTCCATTGAGAATTACTGCACCAGATCGGTTAAAGCACAGAAAGCTTAGCGCGGGAATTCAAATACAACTTGAAGTCAGGTATGCAGACTACACTGGAATAGTTTTATTAAAACATTGCATGACAGAGTCATTCACCATTGATAAGAGAGGAAAAACGCTGCTCTTGCCTTTATTCTCCTACAAAACAGCTAGCTATTATTTTATCTTTAAAGTTTGATTTTTTACAAGACAGAGGAAAAAATTTAAAAACATGTTGTGATATGAAGAGTGTATAAGAGTTTAAAAACATTATGAAAGGCCATTAATCAGTGACTAGTCCCACAGATCTTAACACTGTTTGCATCAATGGTGCAAAAACACTGCAAAGTACTAGAGCATAGGTAGCATTGTTACCATAACGTGGACATTTTCATCCAAGTAAAATCACACATATAAGATTGTCTCGCTAATACGAGAAGTGGTCATTGATTAATAATAATAAAACATTAAAATGCTGTACAGTTATGGTGGATGAAAGGTGTCTGCGTGTTAGGGCTCTGCTCACTCAGCTAACTACAAGATTCCAGGCTTCTCTGAAATGCAGTTCCTACATACTACATCACCCATAATGCAAATGGTTATCAGTGTGATGCCACAGCAGTGGGAGGACATGCAGTTACTACAGCTCTAGATGTGAATGCAACAGGACAAAAGGGAAAGACGGATTTTATGATGCCGCAGTGTGTATTGAATGTGTGTGCGTGTCTATACAGCACGTGTGTGTAAACGTGTGCCAGTGCTGATGTGTGTCTACATGTACGGCGTCTGTGTAGAAATGTCTCAGGCTAGATAGGCTGGCCGTTGCTTGCAGCCAGACAGACACACTGATCACTGTACTTACACACAGTAACACCGAGAGCCACAGCCAGTCACGCTGCAGCGAGCTCACACACAACGAGTCACGACCACAGTTTTTCTACACTGTACACAGAGTTTTAGAGCAGGAGGAAAAACCACTGGCAGTGTCGCAGGCAGTGTTTTTACTTCTCCATCTCGCAAAGTCACCTTGAACTAGAGAATTTGTGCTTGTGGGTAAAAAAAAAAAAAAAAGTATACTTCCTCCTACTGGTGGCTAAAGATTGATCCAAGGTCACCGGTTAACAAAATATTAACAAAATAAAAGCACAAGAATAACAAAACAGTATAGAAGAAAAAAACAGAACTGGTCACAGTATCACATCCCGATAGTCAGCTTATGATAAAACATAAAAAACATCCACTTTCCATGAGTTTGAAACACTTTTATGTAACAGTATTTGTCAGGGACATGATGTTTCAAGTTTTGGGACATAATGTCCATTCACGAATGATGGAAAGTTGTTCACTTTACTATTCCTGAATGAAAACAAAACATTAAAGTAACAAAAACCATTCCCATCCCGCCTCAGGCCTGATCGTCCTCAGGGACCTCGACTGCCTTACATAGCACCTGTCAAACACATAGTCGCAGTTATCGGTCCATCACTTCCCTTGTCAAGTGTCTTTCCTGTTCCTTTATTATTTACAATCCAAGGGAAACATTCCATGACTCTTCTGAGATGTTGGGCGGAAGCAGGAGAAGCAGAATCAGGCATCCCTCGTTTTTATTATAAAGTTTTTTGGCACAGGTCGAGCCTTCTTATGTCCTTTGTCTTTTGCTCCAGTTCCCAGAATTCAAAGCAGTTACTCCACAACAGGACTCCTGGCAAATGTTCAAAAATGCAATAACTGATGCGCTTCACTGTATGTGCACGTAAACAAGTACAGAGAGGGGCATGGACACGCTTTTTGAGATCACGATTCAAGTCTGATTTAGGTGACATTGTTAAATGCTAAAGTGAGAATGTGGATGCAGTAGTAGACCTTCTATCTAAACATGGCTTTGTGATTCACTGGCTTCTTATTTATACAGATGAGTGTTCAGTTAAGACTATCTGCCTCTTTGTGTGTGTGTGTGTGTGCGAGATACAGCAAAGATTTCCATGATACACACGCAGCACATCATATTACCAGTAAAGATTCAACAGTCTACTTTAGATGAAATCAGAATAAAGCACACTTACTGTTACTATTTACAGCTCTGTACAGTGTGTGTGCATGTGTGTTTGTGTGTGTGCACTTGTCTGAGTGCAAGTGTGTGGTCTGAATGTAAAAGTGTTAGGGCAGATACCAGTAGAGAAGGAGATATTTGAAGACTAGCAGAAGGAAGTGTGGGCTGTGTGTCCATAAAGAAGAGAAGTAGAAACAGCCATCATGTACAGTATGATGGGCTTTGATGGTTAGATTTTCTGGATAATTGTGGATGAGGAGTAGAAGTTGACCTCCAAAGTGCAGTCCTTCACTGAGGTGCTTGGTTAATGGGATGTGGCTTACTATGTTGTTTCTGGTGAAGCGGTGTTTGTCAAATTCAGTGGGTCTTGACAAGCTGGGGTTCTGTTGGTGCTTGAAGCACTCAGCTCTGGTTGAGCTCTGGTGAGCGCCATGTTGGGTCTTGTTGGTGGCTGTGAGAACTGGATTTAGGCAGTACTGGGGTGGAATGACACAGCTCTGGTCTCTAGTGGACTGAGGACTGTGGTCGGGCAGCAGGGTGAGGACGGCTAGCCGGGTCCAGTTGGTCATTGGGAACGGAGCGTCGGTTCTGGTCTGGTCGGTTAGTGGCTAAGTATTTTGCTCTCATACTGGAGGTGTACTGAAAAGATAGAAGACAGCAAGGAAGTGGGGGGTTGAGAAGGAGTAATGTTGGAAAGGAAACATGAAAAAAGGACAAGACAAGAAAGACATGAAAAAGGAGAATAAACAAGGCTGGATCATCATTAATCCTTATTTACACAGGAAAAAATAAAAGCAGACATGTGGAATTTGTAGTTAAAATAGTTTACATTAGATCAAGAGAAGATAGACAGATAGACAGATAGATAGATAGACAGATAGATAGATAGATAGATAGGGTGACAAACAGAAGCACACACACAGACACAGCAGAAACACTTGGACCAGTCATTTGGACAGCCAGGGGTGTTTAATTACAACAGTCATTCATTATGTTATAGCTGATTAGGATCTGATCTGGATGATGTTATTGCAAATTAGCAGATGTGGTTCATTTTTGTCAGTGGTTTGTCGTTAGTGCTCTATTTCTGATGTAGTAGGTTAGCCTGGTATGAGTTAGTGGTCTCTTGGGAGCAGCTTGCTAGTTACAGTCGGAGGTCTCTGGTTTCCACGTCACTGCAGACAGGAGAGCAGGCCTGCACGGCACGGCGCCTGGTCGGCAGCCCTGCCCTGCCATTTTGGTGGCTTCTACAGTAGGAAATGTGCTCCTGTGACTGTTTAATGGTGAAGAGTGAGGGGCACAGAAACAGAACACATACACCTCGACCAGAGAATGCACACATAGACACACTGTGGGAACAGGGGGGAGGGGGAGCAGGAACTTTTAGAGGTTTGGGGCTTGAGTTTAGTCGGGGGCTGTACTGCTAAAAATTTTCATTTTAGGGTATGACCAGGTGACATGGAGCAAGGAATGTATCCTAAAAGGTGTGCAGATGTAATAACGAGAGATTTGTTGATAAAACTTTATCAGCCCACAGTATTGAAGCCCCATGATACTGCATGGATAAACATCCACAACTACAGGCCCAGCAGCACCTTGACAAAGCCAAAATAGTCAACCTGTTTGTGGAGAACAGCTACAACGAGGTGAAATTCAGACACCTGTAAGATTGGCAGCTTTATCTTAATGACATGGGAGAAAATGCTTGATGCACTACGTAATTAAATATTACTATTAAAGTGCTTGAGGTTCTCTGAACCCAGACAAACATCTGTTGTTTTATCATCTCCAAGTCCTCACACATTTCATTGTCGGCCACAGTGAAACCAACCAGACTTTACATCAGAAATAGAGAACAACTTTGTATCTACCATGTATTAGACTGACCCAACAATTACTTTATTTTGATGCAAGTGCAGATCCCACTAGCAACAGGCTTCTTGTGAAATTTCGGGTAATCCCAGGCTGCCAAAATGACCTTTGACCTTTGGCAGTCCACAATCACAAAGGACGCCTGCAGTGGTGTAGGGATAGGGAACTACCTTCCAATATCCACACTAGCATGCTATAAAAACATCAGAAATAAGATACAAGTACATATATCAATCCCATGCTTCTTCATTATGTTCTACAATTATTTAGGGCCATCTCTGTGGGTTCTGTGGTTTGGAGTAGTTTCCATCAGTGCAGTGGGTATTGGAAGATAGTAGAGGGAGAGTGTATTCTAGAAAGTGTACACTTACAGAGGGTGGAGGGGACTCCCTGCCAATCAGGGGGGTGTTCTCACACCGAGGGTTCTGAAAGTTTGCATTCTGGCTCCTGCGTTATAGAATAAGAGGTTACTGCATGTGGTCGCCCTGCCTCTGGTGCTGAGCTGCTGATCTGTGCTCTGCTCATGATTACAACTTAATGTCATCAGGAATAGCTACAATTTCAGGGATTTTAGCTTAGTGGTACCATAAAGCAATGAGTTAACACCTCTGCCACAGTCCAACATACTTAACATTTGTTCTTAACAATTCACAACACAAATATATAGTCTGTAAAATAGTTCTTCTATCTGTGTGGGGACGTATAGGAAACTGGCACATATTGTACAAGGTTTGTTGGTAGTAGATTTTAAAAAAAAGGGACTTTTAAACATAAAATATGAACTCACTGAGTTTCAAATGGCCCTTTCAAGCACAATGAAATAGTAAGTCAAACAAGGGCTCTGGTACTGTACTGTATATAGTACAGTGCAGCTGGTTTCATCAGTGTTAACAGTTTGATACCTAGAAGCCTTTGGTAGATTTTACGAGTCTAAAAAGATGAACAAATATGGAGATTTTGTGTATATGATAGAGATCTAACACAGAAATCAGCATCTAACGTTGTCTTAAAAAACCACAGTAGTGTTACCTAGTTAAAAGTCAGCACATGTTCATTATGGTTCTGTAGCTGAAACTTTGTTTCAGTTCTAAAAAAAAAAATAAAATCACAGGTAGTCCTGTCCTCTACACATTGAGGTGGTTTTGCATGTTTTGATTCATTAACTGTAAATGATGTACAGTTTACATTACTGCTAAATATCAACCCAGCGCCTCTCTGTACAGAGTTTGCATGTCCTCCCTGTGCCTGCGTGGGTTTTCTCCGGGTGCTCCAGCTTCCTCCCACAGTTCAAAAACATGCAGGTAGGTTGACTGGCGACTCTATATTAGACTTCATCCGGAATAAAAACATGGCAAGTTTATCATGCGCATCGTCAGTTGGGTTTCAACTGATGATTCGCTGTGGTGACCTCTAACGGCAGCAGCCGAACTGGCAGTGGCAGACAAAAGGTTTCTATGTTTTTTCTGAAATGTTTCTTGTGGTTTCAGAGCAACCAACTGTGGTAAACTGTAATATGCAGCAAGCTAGGTGAAAGTACCCTATGGCGAGTGCACATCTGAATTTGCAGCTTTAATCAAGTTTTTGCTGACATTATGGACTGAAACAGGCAGGCTGGCTGATATGGAAAACGACAACTATTCTTCATCAGCATCAAAAGGGAAAGTAAAGAAAGGCTATAACTCACTGAGTGACAAATAATGTGTCTGAAAGGACATGCGAGCGAGACATACCAAAATCCTAGCTATTTTAACTTGTATCACAGGCAGTGAGCATTGCTATGCTGCTAGTCTTGGTCACGTTGGGGCAAGCATCAGCTACCTATGGCAGGCAGTGTATTGATCCTGCTAGCCTCTAGCTAGCGGTGGGTGCTAACTCACATGTATTCAGTGACGGGGGCATTGCTGACAGTGTGGGCTGTAGCGGGCAGGCTAGCTTCGCTACCGTAGCTGGAGCCACAGCTGTAGAGACTGGGCATGTGAACGCGGTACAGGTTATCGTGCACACCGCCCCTTGAGGCACCCGACTCGTCCTCTCCGTCTTCCTCATCCGTCCTTCATTTGGTCAGGGTAAGGGCAGGGCATAAGAGGGCATGATGGATAGAAGGGGAAAAGGTAGAGGGGGAGGAGATCCGAGTACGACAGTGCAGCTGGTTTCATCAGTGTTAACAGTTTGATACCTAGAAGCCTTTGGTAGATTTTACGAGTCTAAAAAGATGAACAAATATGGAGATTTTGTGTATATGATAGAGATCTAACACAGAAATCAGCATCTAACGTTGTCTTAAAAAACCACAGTAGTGTTACCTAGTTAAAAGTCAGCACGTGTTCATTATGGTTCTGTAGCTGAAACTTTGTTTCAGTTCTAAAAAAAAAAATAAAATCACAGGTAGTCCTGTCCTCTACACATTGAGGTGGTTTTGCATGTTTTGATTCATTAACTGTAAATGATGTACAGTTTACATTACTGCTAAATATCAACCCAGCGCCTCTCTGTGCAGAGTTTGCATGTCCTCCCTGTGCCTGCGTGGGTTTTCTCCGGGTGCTCCAGCTTCCTCCCACAGTTCAAAAACATGCAGGTAGGTTGACTGGCGACTCTATATTAGACTTCATCCGGAATAAAAACATGGCAAGTTTATCATGCGCATCGTCAGTTGGGTTTCAACTGATGATTCGCTGTGGTGACCTCTAACGGCAGCAGCCGAACCGGCCGCGGGCGGC